CGTTTCTTAAAGAGACGATTTCCGCTCTTCAGTATCAATTTAAATGTTTGATAACCTGCATCGTTATAAGAAAAATCAAGGTTATGATTGGTTGAACATGTAGGTTGTATGGAGGAAACAGGAAATTTGTTAAGGAAATATGTTCGGAAAATATTTTTTACGTATAGGAGATTAAACGTAGCAGTTAAAGTATTGTTTAAAGAAATTAATTTTGGAGTTGCAATCAGTTGAGTTTTTTGTTTACGAAATATGTAAACGGGATGACAAAGTTTCCGGTTCAGCTACTAGAGAGAGAGACAGCTTTTCAGCCAATTAGGTACCTAGGAAATTACTTTTTAGATAATTAGTTATTTAGATGGCTAGTCAGCCAGTTAGCTAGTTATTTATGCATATGTTAAGTCTTTAACAAATAAAAATAGGTACATTTAAAAGTTTTTGCCTTAAAGAAAAATCTATTGTTGTCTACGTATTTTACATGTCGCAAAGAATTTAAAATTTTATTATTTGAAGATGTCCCACAGAGACTACATTGGTCTTTGTTCAGACTGCGCAGGTTCAATAATAGCGAAGTGAAGTGAAAGTCAAGGCATGGCAGAAGTAATCTGGTTGAAGTCGGATGTTGTGGAAGAAACTAAGTTAACAATAAACTTCAATTGTTTCGCGTGGCTTTGAACACGTCTGTTATCAACGTGGTTCGTATTTCCATTTGTGGAATGTCTTGTAGGAGTCTGCGCCTTACGGCGTGACCCTCGGCTTATTGATGTAGTTTAATGACCTTCGCCAAGCTAAGATGCTTCAGATCACAGCATTTAATCTTCATAAACCTTTTAAAAAATAACACGAACCAATTCTGTCTTCCCTATAGCATAAACAGCAGTTTTCAAATAAAAGATAAACTAACATAATTCCGTTGCTATGAACACATTCGGTAGCCTACAATGAGAATTTGTATGTTTCGTTTCTAGTGGCTTCCTTGGACACATATCACGTATAACAACAAATATAACATTTGTATGAGTTAAAATGTTTAAATACTTTTATAAATATCGATATGTTGACCACGAGCCTTGACTGCCCTCTGTCGACATCATCATAAAACTAACCCCTTTTGTAATACCGGCCAAAAGCCGACGAATTTCAGACTTTACCGTAGGTGAATATTCTTTCATATTTAATTTTCCAACTTGACACTTTTATATTAACACCCGAAATTAATTACCAGCAATTTATTATTTTAATTAAATGTATAAAAATCGAGTTATGAATATATATTAGATTGAAACTTTTGTTGTGGTACATGATAAATTGACATAACTTAATCCGTATTTGCAATTTCAATAAGCAGACAATTTTTGGAAGAAGTTTAATGAAATTTTGTATGGACTTTGTCACGATCACGAAATATAGATGACGTCATGGCCCCGATGACGTCATCGTTTAACTTCGCAAGTGAAAGGTAAGAACATTTTTCTAGCTGGCCACCGCGTTGTAGATTTTCAGGGGAAGGAATAGTGTACTGTGCATTCAGAAGGTGACGTCAAAGTTGCTGTCAGAGGCAGAGGTATAAACATCGGAAATGAAGGAAAGTGAATTTTAATGCAGCTCTGTACTAATTTTTCATTTCGACAGACCTACAAATATATCGACTGGCCATCGTTAGCCTTCTAATTATTTCAGGGTGATACGATTCGATATCTGGTTCAAATTCATTATTGTATGCTTTCCGCATGTAATAATGTAAATTTTACAAACCACATCACAGTAAACTTGTCATTACGATACGTATTTGTTTTTACACCATCCATGCAGCAGTGGATTAACGGCAAGCGTACTCAGAAATCCTGCCCCAGTGGCACTTAATCCCAAAATTCTAAGATCAGAAGCCAGTGTCTAAAAGCAACGTCTTCGAATCCACATACATGATTTTAAACCGTAGTGATGTATCCGCCCTTCAAGACCGACGCCACTATTCCAGTTGATACAGCGACGTTAAACCAGAGCTATCGAGCACGTGCTCTATGAGCTCCGTGCAGTAGTTTTATATTTAATGTACAACACTAGATACGGCGTACCCTTCGGAGTACTTACCTTGCTTCGAGATATCGATTGATTCTCGAGTTCAACGACTCCAGTCACGCCATATCACCGGTAGTGCTAATCCTTCTAACGAGACAAACATCTCGAGAACAGGGGATTGGCACTGTACAGCTCCGTATTGTAGTTATAAGATAAATATCCGAGTATCTTAAAACTTCCTGCCGCGAAGGCATGTATTGCGAGGGGAGTAAAGGACAACACAAGTCATTTCGACACTGGCATTCGGTCGTGCGAGTAGTTATCGTCCCATGTGCCCGAGGAAAGGGATCCCGCTGCCAGCTGAATAGGAGGCAGGCTGCAAGATAAAATATGCCATCTGGCGTGTGTTGTTTCGTGATTAATATTTGAAGATACGAGATATTTACTTCCTTTCTTTGTAAACGTAAGCGGAAGAAGTCTTCAAAACAAATCGATCTCTCGATTTGGTGTCAACAACCCCAGACGCATCACCACGCGCTTATCTGCACTTCGACGTAGCCATTGACCGGTAACATGGTAAACGCGTGGAACTTGACTGTGTGGCTTCGACTCGTAAATAACACGTTGACAGCAATTTTATTTCCCCGAGTTTTACAAGCGCGGTACACAACGAAGACCGCTACTCAACTGATGTTGAACTTGTATCATCGTTCAACAATGGTGTCGATATGATGTAAAATGTTTCAAGACATAAGAGCCAATGTTTTCGGCTAATTATCTCGTCACTGAGACGCTGTAAGTGTCTCGGTTATTAAAATAACTATATTGGCTGTTTTGAACCCGAAAGTTCATTTCGCTTCTCTCAAGAGTCCTTCATTGTGCCTTTCCCGTACCAAATGAATCCAGCCTCCATATTCAACACCAATGTGTTCAATATCAAGCATGTTATTCTCACATTTGCGTCTGGACCTCTCACGTGGCGTCTCCCCTTCGGATTTCTCACGTTTTCCGCGTACTTTTTACTAATCAAATTCGCTGATAAGTGAGAATGTATCAGGTTAGATTAGTTAGGTAAATTTGGTATTATTAATTTGGCCATATGTTGGCTCTGCTTGTAGTAACTTGTAAGCAGTCGCATGAAAAGACAGTTTGGAAACTTTGTGATTTGAAATACAGTAC